GGCCCGCCCGCCCGCCCGTGGAGATGGCGCCCGGGGCCGGCGGCGCGTGGGCGGTGTTGGGGCGGAGCGGTCAGCCGGGCAAGCGCGCGTGCGCGCCCAGATCGGCCGGCAGCCGGGCGCCCACGCCAGTCCCGGGGCGCCTCAGCTCGATGGAGCAGGGGGAGACCGCGGCGCGCGCACATGTGTTGCTCGCTCTCCCGGCCCGGCGCCCCCCTCGCGGAGCCTTGGGGGGCTCCGATGTTTTCGCCGGCTGTTGGCCGGTGTTGTGGCCCCGCCCGGGGGGGGGGCGTGTGTGATAGCCAGCGCTGCGGGGATTTGGGCGCGAAGTGTCACGCGGCCTGGGGGTGGTCAGACTTCCGGTAGCTCCTGTCCAAAATGCCCCGTGTGAAAACGCGGCCGAGGCGGGTGCGAGCGTGTTTCCGCCGGCCCGGGCCCCCCCGGGGGGGGGGGGGGGGGGGCGGAGAACAGGGGCCGGGGCCACATCCGTTCGCCGGGCCCTGCTGCTGCGCTGCTCCACTGCTGGCGGTGCCGCTGCCACTGCTGGCGGTGGCGGCGCCGGCGAAGGCCGAGGGGGGGGGGGCATCTCAGGCCCTCGGCCGTTGGGCTGGATGGGGCGCCCCAGCTGCGGCGCGGCGGCCGGGCGCCGGGGCCTCGCTGCGGTCGGCCCTCCGCGTCCGGGCGCATGGGCCCCCCGGCGCAAGGTGCCGAGATCCGCCGCCGGGTCGGCCGGTGTCGGGGCCGGGCCCGGGCTTTTCTCCCCGGACAAGGGCGATGTGGGCGTCCCGCCGCCGGGGCTACCGGGCGCGTAAACAGGTCTCCGCACGCAGGCGAGGGGTGTTTCATGGCTCTCTCTCTCTCTCTCTCGCTCTCTGGGGCCGGTGTGCGAGCCGGGCGCAGTCGTGGCCGGGTGCGTTGGATGCTGGCGAGCCGCGCAAGCATCCGCGTGCGGTCGTCCCCCCCTCGCACCGCGCACGGACACTTCAGGTGCCACACGCCGGCCGGGCGGCCGCCGAATGTGTCGGCCCAGCGCGTGCGGGGGAGGGCCGCTCGCGGCTCAGGTGACGGCCGGGCAGAGCGGCGTCCGCCGGCTCCTGCCCCCCCCCCCCCCCCCCCGCGAGCGCGCGCGGGGCGACGGGGCGCCGGGGGGACTCCCCACCGACGCCGGCTCCCTTTGGGGGCGGCGGGCGTTCCCACAGGTCTCTCCTCCCGGGCTTTCCCCGGCCGGCCCCTGCCGGGGGAGAGGCGCACGGCCCGAACCCCTGGCCGCGGCCGTTGGCGATCCCCGGGCGGCGGTCCCCTGCGGCCGTGCCCCGAGCAGCGGCCGCATTCCGGCGCCCCGCGAACCGGGCTCCCTCTGCCGGGCGTGCGCTCGGGTCGCGCCTGTGGCCCTGCAGCCCTGGCCCGGCCCCCCAGGGGGGTGAGGCCCGGCCCGAGCGGCGGACAAACGGCCGACCGACCTCTGACGCGTCTGGCCGATCTCCCCCATCCGGCCGCCTGGAGGGGAAACCGGCGGCAGGGGCCGATCGGCTCGCCCTGCCCCCTTCGCGCCCCGGCGGCCCCCCTCTCTCGTGCGCCCGGGAGGGCTCACTTTTTTAACTCGCCACGCTCGCCCGGCCGGCGCCCCCGGAGACGGGCGTTGCAACACGCATCTCCGTCCCCCTCCCCCGTCCCTCCCCTCGCCCGCGCCTGCTACCCTTCCCCCCGTTCTCTCTCTCTCTCTCTCTCTCCCTCCCCCGCTCCCGCCTCATGGGCTGATCCGGGCCCCCTGGCCGGCTGTTTCTCTGTCCCCCCTCAGCCTCCGGCATCCACCTACCCACACACACACACACACACACATCCTCTCTCTCTCTCTCTCCACACGCACGCCCACGCGCGCACGCGCCCCTTGTCTGCTTCCGCCTTTCCCGCCCCCTCCCTCC